GTCGTCGTCCGCAACCTCGACCTCTTTGTGAACGACGCTCAGCCGCGGCAGTCCCATCCCCAACGTCCCCGTCCGGAACGCACCCTCGGCGTGCGCCGTCCCGCCGTTGGCCATCCGCCACGTGATGTCCCACGCGTAATCCGCCCTCTCCTCCGGCGGCGGCATCGTCTTGAACTTGGCCGTCAGACACTCTTCCGGCTCGACGCCAAACGTCTGCCGGATGCTCGAGACGGTATACGTGCCCAAATCCATCAGCCCGCCGCCGGCAAGACCGTACTGGAACCGGATATCGTCGTCCCCGAGCGCGAACCAGGGGATATACGCCCGCGCGTGCACGTGCTCGACGTTCTCCTTGTCAACAAGCCCCATGAAGTACTGCCAGCTCGGCTGGAAGCGGTAATGGAACGCCTCCAGCAGGACGGGCGCTCCCTTCTCCTTGAGCAGCGGCAGCCGGAACAGGGCCTCGGCCTCCTCGGCGTTGGAGACGGACGGCTTCTCCAGCAAAACGTGCTTGCCCGCCTGCAGCGCCTTGAGGGCCCACTCGTAGTGCAGGCCGTTGGGCAGCGGGACGTAGATTGCGTCGAGCTCCGGGTCGTCAATGACGGCCTGGTACGAGTCCTTGACGTCCGGGATACCGTGCTTCGCGGCAAAAGCCTCGGCCTTTTTACGGTCGCGGGCGGCAATGGACTGGACTATGACCTCTGGGTGAGTTTTGGCCGGGATGATGAGGGCCATTGGGCTACGTCTCGGGTTAGCTTCCAAGTATTGATGATAAGGTAAATTTGTAGGAGTTCTCTTTTCATGAAAAGACAAAGTCCGAGATGGTACTTACGCAATATTGGCTGCACCCAAGACGCCGAAGCGGATGGCGCCATCTTGCTTTGGTGCGACGGGCGGGTTGAAGATGAGATAGTTTCGTCGTAGGAAACCGAAGACGGAGGCCATTGTGATGGAGGTGAAATATGCAAGAAGCGTTTTATGTGTGGTTACAGATTACAGCTCAGTCAACTGAAGCCAGTTCACAACTCCAGCTACTAGTGGGTATTTATGAGAGTTTGAATAAGATTAATTGAGTGATGAGTGAACCAACAAACATTTGCAGGGGAAAGTTGATTAACAATCTGGGGGCTGGTGTTGCAAGGCATGGGATGTTTCTCCTCACCGGCTTTGGTCCGCCGACGGACATGAGACGACGTAGCAGCACAAGGGAACGGAAGGGTTAGCTCAATCCCGGCGGGGTTCAACGGGCAATTGGGCCGATAACATCAAAGCTTAGTGCGGGCAGCTCATATTCGATTGCAGACTTTGGTCACATAATAATGAGGTGTCGCCGAGCTTGAAGTTGTTGGTTCAAGTTGTCAAATATGGGCCTTGCATCCATCGTACCGCTTCTGGCAGGTGTTTTCCGTGTGCACCGTTGGACCGACCGTTGAAACCCCTGCAGGTATCCTCATACACAACCCCGCCGTTACTGCTGGGCATTTCACGTTGTGGGAACGATGCATGTTGTCACAGTCACCATCTGCATAGGTCGGTTGGTTGTCTCTTTTACTGCTTTTTAAGAACTACGTAGGTGGGCTTTTCGCCATCATCATCCTACGGAACAGAGCAGACCACATCCCATTTTTGGTCTCATCTCTGTGGAGGTATCACCCATGAACTTTTCCTTTACAAAACATCGTTGGCGTTGAAGTCGAACAGAGCCTGCTTGACGCGCTCCTTCATGGTCTTCTCGCCCTCACGGACCCAGACTCTAGGGTCGTACTTCTTCTTGTTGGGCTTGTCGTCACCCTCGGGGTTACCGACCTGGGTCTTCAGGTAGTCGATGTTCTTGGTGACGTAGTCGCGGATACCGGTGAGGTAGGCCCACTGCAGGTCAGTGTCGACGTTGACCTTGACCACACCGAAGGAGATGGCCTTCTGGAACTCCTCGACGGCGGAGCCGGAACCACCGTGGAAGACGAAGAAGACGGGCTTCTTGTCGTCGGTGCCCAGCTTCTGCTGGACGAACTCCTGGTGCTTGCCGAGGAGCTCGGGGTGAAGCTTGACGTTGCTGCAATGGGTTAGAGCTGTGGTTTGCAGGTTTTTGAGACACACGCGACTTACCCAGGCTTGTAGACACCGTGGACGTTACCGAAACCGGCAGCGATGGAGAAGAAGGGGCTGATGGGGCTCAGGGCCTGGTAGATGGCGTAGATGTCCTCGGGCTGGGTGTAGAGGGAGTTGTTGTCGACGTCTTCGTTGTTGACACCGTCCTCCTCACCACCGGTGATACCGATCTCCATCTCGAGCCACAGCTTCATCTGTGCGTAATGCGTTAGTGATAGGCGCAAGAAAAAGGTTCTGTTTGTGACTTACGGGAGCAGAGCGCTTGAGGTACTTGGCGGTGGTCTCGATGTTGTAGGCGACATCCTCTATGTGTTTGTTAGTGATGGTCATGGGGAGGGCGAGATTGGAACTCAACTACATACCCTCGGAGAGATCGATCATGTGGGAAGAGAAGAGGGGGTGGCCGGAGCGCTTGAACTCCTCCTCATCGGCGGAGATCATGCCATCGAGCCAGGGCAGAAGCTTCTTGCTGTGGTAGAAGGTCAGTTTGCTGGGTCTTGAGATTGGGCAGTTGTGCTGAGTACTTACGCGCAGTGGTCAGAGTGAAGGACGACGGGAACGCCGTAGATGGGGGCGACAGAGGTGATGTAGTGAGCGGCAGCAATGGCACCGGCGACGGAGGCCTCCTGCTTGTCGGCGCTGTTGGGAATGCCCTTGCCGGCGAAGTAGGCGGCACCACCCTGGGAACTGTAAAGCTGTCAGACATGTTGCTGAAGTTTATGGTGTGGCTGATCTTGGATCCATGGGATCGGTATAGGATTTCTACGCACGTCTGGAGGATGATGGGAGACTTGGCCTCGCGGGCAGCCTCGAGAGCGGCAACGGCGGTGGAAGAGGAGGTCTGGGAGGCGGGGTCGTTGTTAGCCGATTGTCACCAAATATTATTTCCCCTCCATTCTTGGACCGCACGGCGCCAACTCGGCACGCGTCACAGGATCGACAAGATTGGGATTGAGATGGTCCAAGGAGCCAAAGGGAAGCAAGCTACTTACGACGTTGGCAGCAGGAATGGCAAACTGCTTGGCCTTGGCGTAGTTGAAGAGCTTCAGGAGGTCATCGCCGTAGACGACACCAGGCTTGATGTTGAGCTCTGACAGGAGACCCATTGTGAATGGCGGGGTATCTGACGTGGGGTAGAAAAGATGTTCAGGTTGATTGCGTATAGTAACTTGTCCAGAGTAAAGTCGGACTGTTTCTAGATTGATGCTCAGAGGCAGAAGGATAAAAAGGTAAGAGAATATGCAGGGACAGGTATTGGAGAAGAGGGAGAAGAATCAACAGGAGAGTTTGGATCGGGGTTGAGGTGGACGCGGGCGAGTTATGTTTGATTCCCACGAGCGGGATTTTACTCGGGCTGAGCAGGACTGGTCCAGTGTACTGCAGCTACTGACTGTACCAAGCCAGCCAGACCCGGTCCACCTTGACCGTCCGTCGATGGGCCACGCCTACGGCCAAGCATCGGTCCAGTTACCGGCGGGTGCTCTCCCACCTCTTCCAATTTGACCAAGCGTTGGCTGGTTGGCTGGGCGTGTTGCGTGAGGTGCGAGGTAAGGTACATGGGTGACGCCGATTTGGCCGTGGTTTCCCCTTCACCTGCTCCGAGCGGGAGTACTACTGCGTATACCTGGTGGTTCTGAGGTACCTGACTCCGTCCATGAGGAGCTCCGCTCTGCCAGCTTCAATTCTTTTGGGGGAGGTACCACCGTCCACCGAGCATCCCATGCTCCCTCGTTCTTTCCTGCCTTTGGTCACTCCGGTAATGGGAGGAAGTGGACATACCTGTCCTGGCACCTTCCATCGAGAATTGTACATCAGTCACGAACATGAACCTGTGACATGATAGAGCAATCTTAGGTAAGAGACTTTAGGCAATACATCTTCCTTTTTACACACTCAATTACCTACTGTACACCATGACAGCAAGCAAACGGTTTGACCTGTGGCTGAATCCGAGCAATGCTTCCATTGAGAGAAACAAGCCATCAACAACACTGCGCCTGTCTCAACCCAATGGAACACTATGAGTTGTTGAGGGGCAAGTACCTCGACCGGTCGGACAGCAAGAGGGGTACTTCGGACAGCTACGAACAGCCCCTCTATTTCCTCTTACCACCACGTCAAACGCGAGTAACCCCTCCCCCCACCCGGCCATCAAATTGACGTCAAAAAATTGATACTGCACCACTTTCTGCAGGGATCCAATCGTCGCCTCTGCTTTTTTTGGTCTCTTTGGGTCAAGGAGCCATCAATAATGGCGGGGGCCTAGACCTGACACCACCGAAACCGCCTGCAACAGACCACCTGAACCTGGGCAAACGGTACGGACACACCTGCGACCTTGGTGCAATCGGCGCGCCGACACCGCCATTGGCCGGGGCGCAGACTGCTGACAATCATGGCATTTGACTTTTCCACCTCCAGATCTCTCGGCCTTATTATTTTGTGTCCACCACTGCGATATTTAATGTACAGTAGTAGCCCCGTCGCCCATCGAATGACTCAACTCTCTGACCTCTAGGGTTGCGACTATTATCATCACGCAGGGTGACGTCTCACCGAGACCGATTCTCGGTGTAATTTTCCCATCTACACCTTAGATACTTGGTAGGTGGGAAACCAAACTGATACCTGGAACTAATGTTGTTCTAGGTTCACCCGCAACAACGAATCTCCGCCTCACAACCCCTCCATCCCACCCACACCCAGCCCATGCTATCCCGACCGACCATTTCCTTACCTCATGTGCGCCGGGCCCCGGAAAAGCCAGACCAATCGCGCTGCTCCATGACGATAACCTCCCCCGGGGAGCCATGAACTCATCCCGTCCGCTTCCCGTCTGCGCCCTCACGTTTCCACCCCCAGCCTAAGCCCATTGCCGAAGGCCCGGAAAGATGCGGGATCGCGTCCAGCTTCCATCCTTTGTCCGCCGAAAACCGACTCTGCACGCCTTCAAAACGCCCCTCGACGCCATTCTTTCCTCGGCACAATCGACCTCCAAGGCACGATACCTTCTTTCATTGCCGGAAGAATTACCCACGCTTCGGCTCATCTCGTGCCTCTGATATCGTGCCTCTCCACTTCCAACAACTCGCCTGTCCACCTTCCGGCGCAAACACGAGCTCGCAATCTCGAATCTCGGGTCCAAACCACGAGCTTGCATAGAGACATGCCATGGCTTCGCGACCTCTCAATAAGTCAACCAATGGATGACGCCGAAACTGGGAATCTCTTGGAGCTCATCTATTCAGTTCTACCGCCGTCTTAACCAATATTCAGCACTCGTCATCTTCGCCAGCGTTCCATCCCGGGAAACGCTGGCCACCTCGGCCATCTCTCCGGCCTGCCATGTCTTCATTAGCGCCGTCAAGTCATGGGTATGTATCCGCACGTCCTGCCCTTTCTCGCCTCGCTATATACGATCTCCCGCTCTAAACCAGAGCACCCTTTCCGAACCTAGCCTCTCAAAACCCCCTCAGTCGAGATCCAGCTCCTCCATTGCCTCTGCAACAAAGGTCTGGTCTGCTTGACGCCCTGAAGATGCCCGCTCTTCCGATCGCACCGCGCCATCATCCCCAGCCTCGCTAGTGCTGCCCTCGCTCTCCGTCTCCGGTGGCGTCTGCAGCCCCGTGGCGCCTCGCGCCCGCATGTTCCGCTTCAGCATGCACATCTCCACCGAGATCCCCGGCCCGAACGCACACCCCACCACGTAGTCCCGGGCTCGGCCCTCCGGCGCCACGGCGTCCATGTCCTTGGACCGCAGCCTGTCCATGACGCTGAAAATCGTTGCCGAACTCGAGTTTCCGTGATTGATATATGTGTCGTAGCTCGCCCGCATGTGGTACGATGTGATGCCCATCGTCGTCTCTGCCCCTGATAAGATCGTCGCTCCTCCGGGGTGCATCGCCCAGTCGAAGTCTTCGGGTTTCTGATAATTCGATGGTAGTGATGGTACATCGGAGAGCATCTCTGCAAATGTCGACGGGATTGCCGCCGATGCGAGCTTTGGCACTCGTGGGGTAAGAATCACTTTCCAACCTGGGTTGCTTTAGCTACGATGGTCGATTTCCTACTTTGCTTGCTTAACCATGGGGTTCTTGAACTCACCAACAGGGTCGACATCGAAGCCGAGGTCCTGGTCCGTGTCGGGTATGATCTTGTGCTCCCAGCCCAACAGGTCATAGACGGGTTCCGTTGGCTCGCCGATGCCATTGCTGAGCACCACAGCGCTTGCGCAATCAGAGAAGAGCGCGACACCGATCCGGGTTTCTTGCAACTCGTCGATGCTGTTGAGCTCGCTGCGCACCATGGTGGTGCTGACCTCGAGCGCAACGCAGAGGATCCTCGCGGGTTTTCCGCGCGCCTTGTGCCCCAGTGCCAAGTTCGCTGCCGTCCGAAGCGTTGCCAACCCACCGCTGCAGCCAACGCCGTGGAGCAGAACCTTTTCGACTTGGTGTGTGATTCCGAGGCCGTTGACGACGTAGTGGTCGAAGCCCGGGTTGGCGCTGTCGGTGCAGGTTGTCGATACCACATGGGTGATTTCAGAGAGGTCGATGCGCGCTTCTTCAATGGCTTTGCGGGATGCTTCTACGGCGAGAGGCACGCCGTCACTCATGAAGACCTTGTGGAGTTCTGCGATGGAGGGGGCATCTTTCTGGTTGACGACTTCGTGCTCGTGTGTGCCGATGGAGGAACGGTAATCAATGCCGGTGAATCTGTTGATGGATAGAACCTTTTTCATGCTACATGGTAGCTGTGGTCAGAAGATGTCTTGCTACGACTAGATAGGCTACTCAATCTGCTTACGAGGGCGATTCTGGATAGAACTTGTTGCTGAGGTAGTCTATTGAGTCTGTCTTGAGCGAGTAGGGCGGATACTGGCTGGCGACGCCAATGATGGAGAGACCAAGCTCCCCGAAGGTGTTGGGAGCGGCCATTGTGGATTGTGTGTACGAGAGTTGCGATGCGGGGGAGGGGTAGCTCAGCAGTTTCTCTCGATTGGATGTGTCGTTTCGTGCGTATTAATTTCTGCTATGTGAAATTCGACGTCCAACCAGAACAGATATAGTGTCAATGGCAGGTTGAAGAAGAGAGAAAGCTTGTTAAAGCTCTGGAGAAGCTGCGAGAGGCGTTTGGCGAGGGGGTAGAGCTATGTGCGACTCGCAATGGGCTTGGGCGCAAGAGAGAGAGAGAGAGAGACAAGGATGGATGGGTGCTAGGCGGCTAGTAACTGAGGTGCGCGTACTGGGAGTGATGATATCACTGCGGACGAACAGCAACACAGGAATTGCCAGTGTAAAACGTAAGACACCAACGTTGTAGCGCGAATAGAATGGTTGGTCTAGTGTATTGTGCCAACGTGGTGTAATTCGTTTGTTGCCAACGGGAGAAACGATGGGCAAAGGCGAAGCGGGTACTGGAAGAGAGCTCTAGGTCTCTGGCATGTCGACTTTAGGTGTGCTGGAAGGGAAAATCGAAAAGTCGGTCAGGTATAAAATTGGTCAGGCCAGATGTGTGTTCAGAGCCAAAGGATAGAGAGCGACTCGCGGGAGGCGAAGAAAGATAATAGACGAGAGACAGGCCCGTCATGCATTAAGGAAACATAATAGTGACGCCGGCATTAAGCATGGGTGGTGGTGGTTGGTGACTTGGATGGTGGTGGTGGCCGTGGTGCCGTGGTGGGTGGGATGAGGCAAAGGCGACGGGGGGTGGAGGGGGGGAGAAAAAAAGGACAGTATTCGTATGTAAGGAAACACAAGCGCCGGTCGTAGTTGCACCTTGAGCTCAACAAAAGTGGTTGGCCAAGAGGAGCTACCCTTGCCGTACCTTCTCTGTATGGCGGTACTCTTTCGACCTGCTGGTTACTAGGCTTGCCTTAGACCACGATGCTTCCTCCAAAGTCCATACACTACAGGCACATGGACACGGAAAATAGTGAGAGAGAGAGAGAGACGGCAAGACGGGGGCTGGTCAAGAGACGCGCCGTGTTTGCTTGTGGCGATAATGGCAGTGTGGCCGTAGTGGGCGAGTCGGGTCGATACTCGATACCAACAACAGAGTCGGGGGAGTTGTTGCACCGTTTCGTTTCGCAATCATGTTATCCCACCCCATCTTAGGTTCCCCCGACTCGGGGTTCTGCCTCATCCTGGAATGTACGAGAGAGAGCCCCCGGAATGACTTCCGTGCCCGGTTACTGCTCAGGGGTCCAGCAGTGCTACGCTGCGGTGCGGTTAGCTTGCAAGGTTAGAGGTGAAAAAAGTAGGGTAGCCAACCCCGGAACTGAAACATTGTCTGAATCCAATCTTCGGGGCCGGGCTCACGCGAGGCGGCGAGGAGGCGGAGTTTTTGTTTTTCTGGGCTGCTTCTTCTTGATAAGTGATACTTGCTTTGTCGTCGCTGTTGGTTCTTGAGTTGGTCCTTGAGGGTTTGATACCACACGAAGAGGCGTCTTTATCGCGATGAGCAACATGATCCCTGTACGACGTTGATCTAGTAAAGGAAGCTGCGAATACATGGCTGGAAGGGCAGGAAAGCTAGAAGCTCCTCTGGGCTTGCTCATGAGCCGCGATTGCACTGCGGCAGATCAGTCTGGCTGTATGTACCATCTCGCTGCCCAAAAAGTAAGTGGGTGTGAAGGGTCGTTCCTAGATGGGATCGGCCGCCAGCTGTCAGGAACCAAGATGTGGTTATTGGGAGGCCATAATCTGACATGCGTTGGGATAGGTATCCGAAGGACTGGGCTGGGTTGGTTGGACGCTGCTCATGGTCGCTGCTCATGGTCGCTTGTGTGCCAGTTAGTGGCCATTCACTTTTCTATTTTATTTTTTTCGTCTCATAACTTTGCTAAAGACTTGCCATGACCAAGAGGTCGGCACGTCTCATCCGATACTGTGTTCCATCCCAAGTCACTCTCCAACAGTCTTCCCGCCTCTGATTCCCAGTCCATGTCTTCCAGAAACGGAACTGGTTTGGGAGTCCATCCCGCGGCCCGCGCTCACGCTGCCATCTCTTTTTCACTTGACCTCTCTACGCAGTCCATGTTACCGAGCAGACAAGCCATGACCTCAGGATACATAAAATGGTAAAAAAAAAAAAAACATAGCGCAGAGACACAGGCCGACGAGCTGTGGGAGCTTCACTGCGAAAAGACACGCGGCATGATTCATGAATTGGCTCCAGGCGGGGCTTTAAGGCGCCTTACGAGAGTTGCAGCTGCTTGAATGAACCCCAGTAGCTTAAATCCTCAACCTCGGCTCCTAGAGCTTTCCGAATCGACCGCCATGGCACCAAGCTTGCGGTGCATGTCACAACTTTTCATGCGTAATCGGCAAGGTTTGCTGGGCCTATCTCCTTGAGAGCCAGTCAAACGCACCTCAATGAAGCTGACCAGGTCTCATAAGGCATCACAGGTACAACTTTGCATTTTGGGTCCGTAGAAATACTATGTACAGGTGTCGACAGGGCGATTGGACCTGATTTGCAGCATCCTTCATGATTCTCGTTTCCCAAGGCACGTGTACTAGGTAATTAAATCCGGATAATGGCCATTCGTACAAAAAAGACAAAATAGAGTCATGTAAACTCAAACTTCATCGGAACCAAGGCCTGTTGCAACTATCGTTCACAAGCAAAGCCACTGTAACTTACGTTGAAGCCGGAGGGAGGTTTCCAAAACAAAAGTATCAATTCCTCCGCTCGGACTTTGAAGTTGCTCCACGCCCGACCGAACTTTTCAACTCTCAACGTGCCGGTGAACCTTTGCGGATCCGGTCAGCTCCGGATTCTGAACTCCGGACCGACCGTCTCACTCTTCGATTAGGAAATACCGTGTATCCAGGGAGCAACAAAGACAGAGCACCAGTGGCTGAAGCCTGTAGGTAGGTGCCACTATGAACGAACTCCAATGATCAACCAAGGTAGTAATGCAGACTCAAAAGCTCACTGCATGCAATAGTTACACTCACACACCCCCACTCACCACGTTCAGCTCCCGAGCTGGGGCTGACATAGACGCATCACCGATTCAACCCTCCGTACGACGCTGCCGCCAATGATCCAACCCGCCAAACTCCCCTTCTTCTTCCACATCGCCATCGAAACCGCCGCCGCGTGCTCCTTCATCCACAGGCCAGGCAGTCAGCTGACTACCCCATCGATCGCTGCACAGCTAGTGCTGCAGCAATTCGGTGGGCTGCTGCTGACGACGAACCTCATCTGCCTCATCTTTGTGTCGCGGCCGTTTGACGAGACGAGCAGGCAGGTCGCGGCGGCGCTGGCGTTTTGGCATGTCTGGCCGTGTTGGCGCGCCTATGTGCGGTTGACGAGGCCCGAGGTGGATGGCCTGGGGAAGGAGAAGGGAGGAGAGGTGAAAGCTGCTACGCAAAAGACTCTCGGAGGGCCGGCTGTTCATCTCGCGGTACATATTGGCATGTTTTTGTTATTTGCTGGGACTGTTTTCATGTGACAGCCTAGAATGTAACCACTGCTGCTGATGAACCTTGTAAACTGACAATAACATTATTGCTTCAATGTTAAGAGGAAACCTGGGCAAATCCAGTGCCTGAATAAGGTGGGCGATTTGGTTCGCCGTCTCTCTCGTCGAGGCCTTTGAACACATCCATCCCATCCCAACCTTCCCTTTCTCTCATCGACATGCCAACAAACTCAACCACGTCCAAACCCGCCCTTGGCAACCTCAATAAATTCCTCCTTACTAACCCACCCCTTCCCCGAAATATCCGCCATGTCAATCATCCTCCTCATATCCGCCTCGCTCAGCGTCGAATTCACCTCGCCGCACACGGCCCGCAAACTCTCGAGCGTAACCCGCCCCGTGCCGCGGGGGTCAAACATCTTCCACGCGTCCTCGGCCTCCTCCTGCGGGTCGCGACGCATCAGCAGCCACGCCGCGATGGCGGAGAAGTGCTCCTGCGGCATGCGCAAGCGGGACGGGCTGCAGGGGCCCCGCGAGGGGTCGTGGTCGTGCGGCGGAACGCCGTGGGCGAGGAGGAGGGCGTAGGTCTCTGTGCGGGCCAAGTCGAAGCCGATGGCGCGGAGGGCAAAGGGCCACTCGCGCGCGTTGAGGGAGCCGAGGCCTTGTTGATCGACGACTTCCCACTGGTCAGGGGTGTCAGCGATGTTCACGCGTAGGATGAGGAGGGAGGGAGAAAACGGAGGCACGCGGATACATGATTCGACTAAGTGGACTCTCGGATTATATACGAGAGCATGATGCAGTAGTGCTAGATAATGCAAGGACTTACAGCCTCTCTGATGTTTTGTTGCCAGTCGGAGGGTAGGGCGGCCAGGTCGCGACGACCTTGCGCCATGTCGAACATTGCCGATGGGGTAGACATCGCGTCGTTTTGTATATGTAATATGTTTCCTTCTCCCCTTCTCCTTGGAACCGGTTTCGGTGCTTCGGATATCTCAGATGTAGGTGAGTCTCGAGACTTCCTTGCAGCGGCTGCTAGCTTCACGAGGTAAGGCAGGCGCAAAGAAAACGAGAGTAAGTGCCAATGATGAAAACAAAAAGCGTGGAATAGCAAAGGGGTATCAGAAATATGGAACTTGAAGGCGAGAACTGGGGGAGGATGTCACTATGAGTTCTTCATGTGTGAGATCTCATGCTAAGCGGGTGGTGGGGCTCGGCTTTTTGAACGAGAGCATTCAGTGAGTAAGATGTCGCGTCTGCAGCTCAGTTTCCTCTCATCGCGAATTCGACCGCGATGAAAAAAGGTACGTACACGAGCCATGGAGAAGGTTCGGTGGGGTCATATACACCAGATCACGTGATATTCTCGACGTCCTGAGGACTGAGACGTCCAACAAATGGGTTATGCACTGTTCTTTGATCTTTCTCGATGGACCAAAGATGCATTGTGGATTCAAGCCACTTTGAAAGTGATAGATCGCATTATTCCAGTGATGTGCTGCCGTCTCAGGCAGTGCCATTGTAAGTGATTGAAGCTGAAGCTCAGCCGAAGATACTCCGCAAACAGATCCAGTCTACGTAGGGCCAATCAATTACATCCTCTCATCACCACCCCAGAGGCATTGTCCGTCTCCCGGGTCTCTTCGATTACATTGTGCATTGCATCGCTCTTTGACGTTCAAGGTGATTGTATTTCGCCTGTCAAAGGCCACACAATGAGGCCAACATTATTCCGTCCGTTTCAGTCGACTCTTCGAGTCCTGGGCCATGAAAACCCCTTGGTACAACTCACGCTTCTCTCTTGCTGTTACTCTTGCTCACTCTCACGCACATGCGTCACTTCATACCTGAGACCGACTAACATGGCATACAGGGTCTGCCGAAATCCGGCACACCGCCCAACTGGCCCAGGAAGCCCGTGAAGAGGAAGATTACTGGCGTGGAGAAAATCATTGCTGTTTCTTCCGCCAAGGGTGGCGTTGGCAAGAGCACAGTCGCAGGTAGGTTACGCAGCTCGGACCGAAGCTTGTATGCAAAAAGGCAGAGTAATAATCAATATTCATAGCAAACCTGTCATTGGCTTTTGCACGACTAGGCTACAGGGCTGGTATCCTGGACACCGATATCTTTGGCCCGTCTATTCCGACACTCTTCAACCTCTCCGGAGAGCCCAGGCTCTCAGAAAGTAAGGACTCGGACCTCTTCGACCATCCCAGCTCGTCAACTGACAATGTCACTAGACAACCAGTTAATCCCAATGACTAATTACGGCGTCAAAACCATGTCCATGGGCTATCTCGTACCAGAGGACGACGCCGTGGTATGGCGAGGCCCCATGGTGATGAAGGCCATTCAGCAGCTACTTCACGAAGTCGACTGGGGTGGATTGGATGTTCTCGTGCTCGACCTGCCTCCAGGCACGGGCGATACGCAGCTCACCATCACACAGCAGATCATACTTGATGGTAAGTCATGTTTGAACGTCGCAACACTAGGCACATGAATGCCGGCCATCGCTTACAATAGCCAGGGTCCATTATTGTCACCACACCCCATACACTCGCAGTCAAAGACGCGGTCAAGGGCGTCAACATGTTCAACAAGGTCAATACCAACATTTTGGGCTTGGTGCAAAACATGTCACTCTTCAACTGTCCACACTGCAACGGCGACACACACGTTTTTGGGTCTAACGAGAGAGTCGAGCGCATGTGCAGAGAGCACAAGATCGACTTTTTAGGCGACATCCCCCTGCACCCATCCATCGGCGATGATGCGGATCTGGGCAAGCCCACCGTCGTATCGGAGCCGTCGAGTGCCAGGGCGGAAATCTTTCTCAAGATTGCCAAGGATATTGCCCCGAAGATTGACCTCCGCTCACCGTAGCTCGCCACTGACATGTGACGGCCAGTAAGCGACGTATTCTGAGGACGAAATGAGAGTGTAGGATATCCTGTATAGCCAGATGTTTAGTCAAGGTGGCCAAGAAGCTGGGGAAGTTGGGCATCTCATGTATTTGTAACAAGGGACCCCCCCGCGCTTGATGCGCAGAGCCCAGATGAGATCATAATCCCATGGTCGCCTGGAGTGAGTAAAACACATGTGTACAAACCGTTAGCCTATGTAACGCGGAAACAAGACACTTTACCATGAAGAGATTGAGAGTGCCAAATCACCCATGAACGCCAATGCCTTGAACCTCCTTCCCTCAAGATCCTCCCGCATCCCTATGCCCTAGCAGCAGTTAGTCGAGCTCATCGTTTTGTTGATAAACGTGTCGACTGCGAGCAGTGTCTTTCCGCATAGCTTGGCCAGAGCCTGTGAAACCAACTGTGATTGTGTTAGCATCATCCTCAGTATTGGTTCAGCGCGAACAACGTACCTCGGCCGCCAACGCCGTCAGGTGTGCGGAACATGCTGTCCTTCTTCTGCTTTCCAAACTTGGACTTTGAGTTGAACTCCTGCCACTTGGATTTGCCCTTTTCCAATTCTTTCGTAGCTTTGATCTTCTTGGCTTTAGGGGGCTTTGCGGCGCCATCGGCAGCATTCTTTTCTGCTTCAATCTTGGCTTGTTGCTCAGGGTACAAGCTAGCTGCTGCGGATGTAACGACACCATTCGAGGGGCCCGGCGGACGTGCGGTCTGTTGTGCGGTGCTAGATGCGGGAGCTGGTGCTCCGTCAGCCTTGCGTTTGTTGGACATGGGGCGGATGTCCTTGGCTCGCAGCGTTTCCGTGTTGTCATAGCTCTTGAACTTGACAATGTAGACGGGATCTGTTGAAGAGCCGGTGATGGATGTGATTCGGGCAGGATAGAAGCCTCTGTCGCCCGATGCCCATTTCGCCATGACAGTGTCATTCACCGAGTACGTAACGGGTGGTTCCTCCTTCTCTTCGGGGGCGGGTGCAGCCTTCTTGAAAGCTGGGTGGTTTTCCTTGGACCACTTCTCGGGCTCTGGCGGGCTGGGCGCTTTTTGAGGGATGGGCTTGGGCGCCTGCTTCGGCTGCAGCTCAGCAAGAGACTCGTTTAGGAGGGAAATCATGTCATTCAACTCCGCCTGAAGATTCTTGAGTTCGGCATTTTCGGGATCATCTTTGAGGCCGGCGAGAACAACATCGAGCTGTGAGGGTCAAGTTAGCGAAGAACAGATATGAGGTCTAAAGGTCGAGAAATTGCGTACCTGCTCTTGATACTGTTGGCGGTCCTCCTCCAAAGCTGCAATTTGGCCCGACATGATGGCGGCTACAGAAACGGTCCGTCGCGGGTTGGAGGTCTTGAGAGGGTGGCAGGCGTCGGTTGTTGAGTTTATTCAATGTACAGTCGGACGTGACTGAAGATATTTCAGTGTTGAATCGCTGTGATGTTGCGGATGTAGGTAGAATCAAGCATGCGCCTGGTTGGTCTGTGACGAACTGGGAATGGCGTCCATTCGCGGTAAGAAGCTTATCCGGCAGAGTCACGTGGAGATAATGGTGAAGGCTAGAGGAACCAACTGCATTGTCATTCCTGGTATTGGCCAATCACAGAGTGCCTGATTCGTGCAGCCACCCCAGACTCGAATGTGGGATTTTTTTAGGAATCGTGGCATGCAGGGGTGGGAAGCGGTTGAAGTCGGGTCCAGGCGCACCTAAAAGCAGCACGCACAGGTGCTGACGATGGACGTTAGCGGGCGTGGCATGCCGAGAATGGTCCTGAATGGCGCCGGAGCCAGCAGTGGAGAGGGAATCGTGGGTGCCTCCCATGGTCTCGGGTACCTTGTCTAAGGTAATTTAGCCAAAGGGTACCTTAGACACATGGACGGGAACTTCGACCTGGCCCTTTTCCCTCTTCTTCACTCTCTTTCCCATTTTACACTACTTATTTCTCCTCGCAGCTTGGAGTGAACAGCGCAGCATCTTTCAATCTTTCCTCTCTATAACGCAGATACCCGAACTCCCACTATACCTCGACTACGATACGACTCCCCTCCAGTTGTCATCCCTTTTACTGCGCAATTCCTCGCCGCAATCGGCCCCCAATTGGGCGCACCTTGTCCAGCCCGCGCTCTCCCGAAGTTCCAGTGCTCTCCCTCCCTGTAGTTTTCGACGCATTACCTCATTGAAACAGCAACGCGGGCAGCCACCACCGCAATCCGTCGGTCCTCCGAACGCCCACGCAACGTACCGCACCGCACCCGCGCATCAGAGAACAAGCCTTGCTACCACCCCCAAAGAACCTGTCGACACCCATGACATTGTTGTACCTTGGCTGCAACGGCACATCATAGTACCTATTCGTCAAGTACCGGTATCCCCCAGGGGGTCAAATAAGCAACCATGGTTCGAGACAGAGACAGAGACGGTGATGAATCTTCGGCGCCCAGCCAATCAAGACGCCCTCCTCTCAATCATCAGGAGAGCGATTCGACAAACAGCGACCAGGCTCACCGAGACCACCATCATCAGCACCGCTCGAAATCCCAAAAGCACGTTGTCGGCGGCGGTCGCCTGCATGCACGCGTTCCTTCCTCCAAAGCACTACACAAACACCATGGCTCGACGGCCTCAAAACTGAACAATCACCGCCGACAAGCATCCCCTTCGCCCGATCGAAATCGCGCCTCCGCAGCTGGCCATCGCCGAGTCCAATCTGAAGCGAAACTCTCCCGCGACAGCTCCTCCGCGAACCTCAGCAAAACCGCCTCCGCGACGAGCTTACGGAGGAACAAATCCCACGGCGAAGTCAACAAGCCCGCAAAGATCAAGTCGGTGGAGAAACTCAAGCGAACGAGCTCGAATCCGGCCGTGAATAAGGTCAAGTCGCAAAAGTCACAGGTACATTTCGACTTGGGGAACGACGGCCAAGACGACGAATGGGTTGACGCCAGCACATCCGCTTCACCATACCTATCAAGACGAGGATCGCTCGCCAGCACACAAGCCTCTGCGAAGCCAGACGACGGCAGCAGCAGCGCGAATAACTCTGCCAGCAACTCTGCCGGCAACTCTGCGAACAACTCCAGAGCAGAAACTCCCGCAGCGCAATCATCACCCCTGGTCTCAGCGACACCCGACCGCGAGACCGTACAGCACAAAGCCTACCTAACCTCGAGATTACTTCAACGCACCCCTTCCCACGGCGCACCTCCCAAGATGACGGCAGACACAGTATCCGTCTCACGGCGGGGCCACTCCTCATCCCCCGACTCCATCGGCCGCGGCTCGACCCTAGGCGACTCGCACAACGTCAGCACCTTACCGGGCAGCGCCGGCGACGAGCTTATTTCGAGATTTGTCAACGCAGGAAGCTCCGGCGCGGCGCGCGAAGGATCTTTCTACCAGCTCCCAACGCCTGGGCCGGCGAGCTTACGGTCTGAGGAGAACCCCTCTCGAGGGCGACCGCAGTCCTCGGGGTCCGGACGCCAAGGAAGAAACCGCGATCTGCCATTATCAGACGACGAAGACGGCGACAGTGCTCTAGAGACTCGCAAAACCCGCGATACCACTGACGGTACAGCGCTCGCGCCACGGTCGGGAAGGCGATTCGCCCCGCCCGCCGAAAAGTCGCGAACGCAGCAGAAGCTCAATCTTCAGCGCGCCAGCTCCGTCATTGAGCCGGGTCAGGCAGTAGGAGGAGGCGTGGGCGCAGTGGGCGCGAGCCCCCTGGTCGGCATTGGCGGGCCGGGCTACGACGGCGGCGCGAGCCGCGACCCACGCGTCGCGAAGCAGCTGGAACGGACAGGGATGGAGTACCTCAGCGTCCGCCGCTTCCAGAACCCCGTGGTGCGTTCGCTGGACCGCCTCGCGCAGGTGAACCGCGCCAACAAGACGCAGCGGATACCGCGCAACGGGACCGCCAACGGCAACGGCAAGGCCGCGTCGGTACGGGGGGGCGTTACGCCGGGAGGGCAACATATGCGTAACTCGAGCCTGAACGAAGCGGCTCTGGCTGCGGCATCGGGCGGCACCGGCACCAGCACCGGCTCCGCCCGTAGACCCGTCACCCCGCGCGCTTATTCCATCCGGACCAACGGGGCTGGATCGAGCTACGAGGCCGACGGGGACGACCATCAGAGCGGACGCGCCCTTCACGAGGGAAACGGCGTCCAGGGCCTCAGCGGGTCGAGTCTTGTGGGTGGAGAGGAAGACGAGGGTATCACGGCGATCCTCCGCAACCTGTGGGAGAAGAATCCGGACCTCAGTGCCAGCCAGGAGTAGGTTGACCAGGCTGGCTACGTGGATCTGGATATCATTCCGTTTGATTCATGAACTCTATGGAGATGAACTGGTCCTACACCCAACGTTGACAAGCAAGCCGGGTCACGACTAGGAGCGAAGCGAAGGGAGGATACGTGTTTTGACAACGGATAAGGCGTACTACAAATGAGGTCTTCAACGGGCCTGGGCAGGACATGGACGGGAGGATTACAGTGATGGGATGGCCCCGCCCGGGTTGGGTGATTCTTTTTGAAAAAAGCATCAGGTGGCTGGCTGAATGCCAATCCAGCCTCTGATATCCAGGGTTTTGGTTCGGCACTTCTTTGCAGATAAGAAAGGGCAGGCGAAATGGCAAATGGCGGTATACACAAAGAAAGACTTTAATAATTCCAGCACGCTTTTGATTTTCAGAGACGATCAAAATGTTCCCCTTGGGGATTTATCAAGTGCTCAGATTGAACTCTCGGAAGGGTATTTGATTCACATGCATCCTTCAACGGCCGTACATGTTTAGCTTGTACCCCAGACATGAACGTTGAGTTGGCCAAAAAGCCACATGGATATGATGAAAGATGTTACATACATACATGCACACACACACCTCAACTAGTGAGCTCGGTGAGACCAAGTGGACCAAGGAGACTGGCTCTGCCCACCTCAGCCTCTCTGCTGGGACTCACTCTACAGGTGAGCTTAGATAAACATCTGCCTCTAATGGTTGATCCGCTCAGACCAGAATCTCACCAAAGGCATGCCACTGGCTCACACAGACAATGTTGAGGAACACACAAACACCGTCATTGGTACTCAACCCCCCACCCGCTCTCAAAAAAACAGAAAAAGGTTTCACATGCGCAGGCACACACAAACATGCAGATTCACCAAGAGACACGCAGACATGGCTGAATTCTTCTTTATTTGATCCCCTAAAAAGCGTGGGGGTCCATACGCCCGTCAATGCCCTTTCAACGGCCGGGCGGGGGCTATGTACGTTTGCATGCCTCTCTCTCGTCTCGTTTCCTTGTCCAAGCCATTGATATAAACTCAAAACGCAATACTATTTACCTCCAAGAAAACCCAACTTGCAATAACACCAAGAGCGCCAAGTCATTGAGAATGACTAATCAGAATGCGATGCCCAATTGGCTCGGAGGGGAGGCTATGCTCTACTACACTCCAGCCACAAGAAATATTCGAGACGACTGAAACCTCGTAGGCGCCGGCGATTGAATGAGACTCTCGTTCGTGTCGTTCGTGTCGTTCGTGCTATTCGTATTCCGTCTATTTGGTGATGAAGCCAAGGTAGTCGGCAACGATGAGTGTTACCATTCTGTTGGAAACGCACTATTGTTAGCACACAAACAAGGTACCTAAAACACGGGCACACGGGGTTGAGATGGTCCACTTACGCATGGGGAGCAATGCGGACGTAGTAGGTACCGAAACCGCGGTAGAAGCGCATAACGCCCTCCTGCTTAGCGACCTTGGCAAAGCAGTCGGCCATTGACTTGTACGGAAGCTTGCCATCGGGTCCCTTGGACTGCTTCTGTAGGCGGGTCTTGACGAAGTCGAAGGGCAAAGAGAAAAAACTGGCGAAGAATCCGGCAATGGCGCTGGCGGTGAGAGTCTGAACTTGAGAGGACAGCTGCGTATTCTGCTTGAGCTGCACCTTGGCCTCGCTGAAGAAGGCGAGCTGACCAAAGTTGAGAGCCATAGCACGGACGACCGTGGGGGCGGCACCGGCCCAGAGAGCGGCAACACCTTCAGACTTTGCAATGCTTGAGAGAGCGTCGATGACACTCTTGTAGTTCTTGCGCTCAGCAAGGGGCTTCAGTCCGTCACTCTGCATGCGGATGAGGGCAAGGTCGGCAGGATTTCCAATCATGGCGGCAAGACCTCCGGCTGCGAGGCCCGCGGTGGCACGTTCCTTGAAGCCAATAGCGTTTCCCTGCTCTTTGGCGCGTTGGCCGAGCTTGCCCATAAAGGTGTCAAAGAAGCCCAAGCGGGCCGTTGTGTAGACAGCTTGGCGCAGGAGGCCGGCCGACAGACCGGTGTAGAGGTCGAGGGCCTTTCCGCTAGCAAGAATTTCCCGGGTGACTGACAATGGTGTAGGCTTGGGTCCTCCGGCAACACCCTCTCCAGCGAGCTGGATGCGGACCTTGATCATGTCGACGGGCTGAATAACAGAGGTGGCTACCATGCCGCTGATACCGCCGTTGATGAAGGGCAACGCTGCCCTCATGACAGGAGTGTGGAGGAAGTCATTGGCGACAGCGGCACCGTCTCCCTTCAGAACTTCTGAGGTGCGAGTTCGTGCGGCCTCAGCTGCCTGCTTGATGGATGAAGAGCTCATGATGGTGGGTGTGTAAGTAGGACTGAATCACAGTATGGTCAAGTATCCAACTCGGTACAAGTTGAAGAGGTCGTCGAGAATGATAGCTGCTTCGGGTAGACAGTCGAAGAGCTAGGTTGGGAGGTAGAGAAGCTGTCAAAGAGAAGAAGAGAGGACACTAGTTAGCCAACGTTCGATCCAAGAGGTTTCACAGGTAGCTTTATAGTATGAGAGAGCTCCCTCGTTCTTCCGTGCCTGTCAAATACCAATGTTAAGTCAACCCCCCGGTCAGTTTGAACGAGGACCAGATCCGGTGGGGGTCCAACAAAAGCATGAGACGGGACGCAAAGACGCAATTCCACATTTGGGCTACGGCAAGTCCCACATGCAGAAACGGGCGCACGTTGGACAGGGTATGCAGATGAGTGGTGTAGTGCAAGTGCGTAGGCTTCGGCGTAGAGTAGATGCAGAACGAGACAAGGGCTGGGCATCCGGCGGAACTAGAGGCAGTGACCGAGGTGACGGTCCCGGGTCTCATCGGCCTGGAAGATGAGGCGGTGGGGGCGGGGGTATGTCATCGGAAAAGATAGGGACGGGGGGTAGCTCCGGGTGGATGCAGCCGTGGTTGAGGTGTTCCGCTTCCCATGTAAGTGGAAGAGAGGTTCAATGACGGGGGGTAGGAAGAGGAGGGTGTTCCGCACTAGGCCGGAGATGACTTGGGCCAGTGAAGGAGGGGAGACGGAGGAGAGTAAGACGCAAGGCAAGGTGGGTTTGGTGTAAGGCGGAATAAGGTGGATCGCAAGTGAAAGGTGCCGACGTGGGCTGGAGCTGGAGCTAGTAGAGCTTCGAGCTGGAGATGTGTAAGGGTCTCGGACTTGCACACTATGCAAAGCCAGGTAGGGTAGATTGGCAGAAGAATGCCGGGTCGTCTGCAAAGAGCAAAGCCGCAGCGGGGTTGGGGTTGAGGGGGATGGCAGAGAAGAGAGACGGGATTAGCTCAAACGCCCTTGTTGAACGCCTGGCGTCCCCAATGAAAGCTTTCGAGACACATTGAGAGAAGAACGACGTTGGCTCGAACGTTTTGACTTACCAAGAGAAGGGATGTCTTGTTGGATGGGTTGGTTATCGTACAGCTAATGGTTTGACGTTTTGCAGTCGATATAGGGTATCAGAGTGTTAGACAAGCGTCGCAATGACTCTGCACAAAGACTCAAGTTCGATTCGAGGTCGCGTGCTGGCGTTGGGGAAATGCTGAAGTAGTAAGAGGAGAGGAAGGCGGGGTTGGGTTTATGGCTTGCTTTGGGGTCAGAGAGGAGAGGGTGAAGGTCGAGAGAAAGATGAGTCGGACGAGCAAGCAAATAAGCAAGTTGTAGCAAGAGAGAGGTAGACGGTAAGATAGGTAGTCACAAAGTTTGTGTGAGGATGCGGTGGCCCGTAAGGTAGAGACGAGTCCAAGTAATTCCTTCTTTGCTCGTGGATGGATGGTTTCCTTCGGGAGTTGACGGTAGCTTAGGTGGTTCAAGATGTCAGGTGCTTCTCGGGGCGATCAACGTTCGGCAGTAGCTGCTCCCAGTTGGGCTAGTAGAGGAAGGCGGATTGGAAGCCGTTGATCGATTCCAGCAGTAGCCTTGCTTCTGTGTGTTGTTTGGAGGAGGACCGATGCTTCCCAGTTGATCGAGATGCGTATAGGTAGCTTTAACGTCTCAAAAGGGACGGGTGGACGAGAGCGATGAGTGCAGTACCTTGGTACGGAACAGACAAAAAGTATGGATGGTGTGAGAGATGGGCATCTCGTGCGGAGTCGAGGCTATGGTGTCGATATATTTATGAGAGAGACACATGCCTTGTGCCACTTACCTTGGCTGATCCTGGTGTCCGAGACGGCATGGAGGAGAGAGATACTTGGTGTTGATGACCAGACAAGTACCTCTCTACCCAGTACATGGAAGGCATTGTCGGTATGCCAGTTCACACACACAGGGTCACAGTCGGTCGGTCGGTCAGTCGACCATTGGACTACGAGGTATTAGCCAGCAAAGACAGAGAGACATGCCAGCCCCCCTCCTCAAGCTCCAGCGACGAGAGGTAGGTAGACTACAGTACGACTCAAAGCTTCCCACCCTCCCATCCAAGCGGCGTTGTCCCTGGCTTGGGGAGGTAACGAGCCAATGAGGAGTTGGGGATTTCACCAAGAGGCCGTGGTTGCGAAGCCAGGCGCATTGTCTGTCGCGTCTGTCTGGTGCCGTCCGGATGCGGGGTTGAATGGTTTCGGCACACCTCATCCATCAACGTGTCGGAGGCAATGAGGGGGGCGTGGCTGGCCCGTTCTTGTCCAAGTACTTTGTAGTCGTACCTAGAGTGCTAGAGAGCTGGATGGATGGATGAATGGATGGATGGATGGGATGGGACAGGTTACAGGGTGGAATGGATGGATACCTGGGGAATCGCTCGAATCTCGGGAACATCCTTCGACCTGCCTTGGGCTGCAGTAAATTGAAAGCTGGGCAGTCTGGATGGAGGTAATCGGGACGACATGCACATGGGTGGATGTTTGGTGTTGAGGGGAACATTGACATGTCCGACATTGGAAACGTCACCGTGGGCGCCATCAGGAGAGGAAATCTCCTGACAATCTGAGCAGATTGGAGCGGAACGGACGACTGCGACAGCGAGCTGCTCAAGGTAGGCGGCGGCTATGTTTGCGCCGTGGGAGAATGCAACCCCTTGTGCAGTCGAGTCTTCTTGGACCGTATCTGTCTTTCCGCGAGTTGTGACATGCCTTGCCTTGCTTGCTAAGAGTGATACCTATTGGCGGTAGACACTGGGTGAGACGGTGCCTGGCTTCGCCTGGGCTTGGATGACGGCACGACAGTAATGAAACGGGTGTCGATCGTTGGCTGACCTCGGGCTGTTAGACTGGCGGGGGTTTGCCAGCGTGACTGAGGTGAATCGGGGCAGCAGCAGCCATGTTCGAGTAGTTAGGTACTCAGACCGTGACAGAGAAGGCTGGTTGTGCCTTTCGAGATGGCTTGGATTGCTCCGCGTCGATACGGACAAGGGAAACGCCGCGGATGAAGAAGAGATGGATGGCTGATAGATGGCGTGCCAATCATGTAGCGCGTGGTGGCCGAGGCGATTGAATACTCGTGCGGGAGAATGAGAAGCGGTGGAAGAACCAAAGCAGATGGTCTTCAAATTGGATGGATTGCCATGCATTTCATTGTCGTCTTCTAATTCCTGTGGTGCAATAGGTTTTGGATGTTGATACCGTTCCCTGTGTTTGGTATTGCATCCAAGCAAGAAGCGACCAGCTCCCTTGCTCCTTGGCTGCTCGTTTGGCTTTCCCTTCGTCCTCCCGAGGCCAGACGAGAAAGCCCCGACGATGCCGATGAAGCCGTTGCACTTGGTCGAGGTACTTGATCAAAGTTGGGGTAAAGGTCACTCGCCATCGCATCGAGCTATGAATTCAAAAAAGAGCATAGGAGAGACTGTAAAAAGACGTCTGGCAGATGGGACGGATTTGCATAGAGCGCTGTTCTCGTCTGGGACTGGCCTGCGAACTGCTCGCTGCCACCTGCTGCGGGAATGCGGGGTAGTGGGTATGCACGGACCATGATACGCTCTATGGGCGAAAGACCCAGTTAATCCGCTTATGTAACCTTACACGTGCTCGGTATCGATAAGAGCTTGCTTGTGCTTGGGTCACTTGATGACCTCTAGGCCAGGGCAGCTTCACCACAGGTACCTTACCTAGTGTACCTACCTAACCGGCAAGACCTTGGACAATCAGTCACGCTCTCATCCCGTGAGGCAATAGCCATGGTTTCCTTTGTATCACCAAATCAGTATTTCTTGCCTGATACTTCTCCCCCCGGAGTGGAAGCTGGAGAGGAAGCAGAGCATCAAACTTGGGCTCCTTCCCACAGATAGACGCCATGGGGTGACGTAGCCACCTAGTTTCGCTCCCCTGTGCTTGCCAAACAAGCGCACTTGGCGCCGGGATTCGCGTGTGAGGAGACCTGTCCCGACTCCCGCGAATGATTCTAATTCCAGCTCTCAAGACTGGCTGGGCTCGAATATCCTCTATGCTGCCCCCGTATCTCATGCACCATACTATCCACTCGGGTCGTCTTATTTCGTCACAGCTTGATAGAGCAACATGATTGGTTTCACACCCTCGCCACTTGCCCTCGACTCACCTTGCCTCACCGAAACGACGTCAAAATGCCATACGCCTCGTTGGATCCGTCCGTTGGGGCCATACCGGCTCCCCTTCAGCCCGCCATGTCTTACCGAGAGGCATCTTGTTGGAATTGGGAACCACTGAGCTCGCTCAAGATATTGGGCTTATTGTCTCTCTGGCAGTCACCGTACGGACTACCGCTACTAGTGCTAACTCTGATAAGCTCCTTCGACCCCAAGGACCTTATTCCCGTATCATCTCCCACATTTCCATGTTCGAGCTCGAGCCCAAGCAGAAGACATGTGAAGCTGTTGAGCTACCGCAGCCCTGCAGCATCCATCCAATTTGGTCCCCAACGAAGCGGGATCGTCTGCAACGGCGAGCCACCCTCGGCCCTCAACCGCTGGAAGATACGGACGACGCAGCCATACCAACACCTTGGGCCAGCCATCCCTTGCAATCTGGCAGAACCTCCAAACTCTATCCTGTCCGTCCACGATAATTCGGCTATGGCTAGCCAACAAGTTTGAACGAAATGTGCCGATGCCGCAACGGAAAGTCGCGGTTCAAGACATTAGGGAAGATTCCCCTCCGAACAGACACGAATCAGATTTCATTGAGTGAAAGAAAACACCGCACAAGCCTCTCTTTCTTGGCTCATATCGGCATCTTCAACATTTTCGCCGTAAAAGCGAAGACGCGAGCGAGATAGCTTCACATTCTCACTTGCGTATCCTTGGCCTTCCTAGGGTCTAATTTGGCAAGCCAACGCTCGTGCGCCACTTTGTTGTTATTCCCGAAAGCTCGGTAACCCGCCACGGCACTGGTGGAAAAACCACGGTCCCTTGCTCTCCTGCTCTCTACTTGCAGTTCCTTTCTGCTGGTTGATACCAGCAGTTCCACGATCCATCCATTTGCCGGAAATTCGTCCCGAATGAATCCGAGCTCACCATCCCCGGTCCGGAAACGCGAAACGGCATCTGTGTCAATGAGTCAATCTGCTTCTTCCAAAAAGGAACCAAATCAATAACATGGAATATGCACCTCGGCCTTCTATTCCCTGGGGCGGAAATGTCAGGAACCTCAGGTACCGCCCCGTCTTCCCAACCGAGCAAACATTCTCGCGCTCACTTCCATGCGCGGCCCCTCCATCCCGCGGGATGACGCTTGTCCGTCCCAAGAAGAAGTGGAATGGGGATGCACGATATGACCCCATCCACCGGGCGTGGTTCCGATGCTGCTGACCGCTTGCTTGTCTATTTGTACATCGTACACTACACAATCTGTCTCGGACCCCTGGTTTGACAAGATTGAACTTGCATATTTGATGAGCCGCACTACGTATCCGTACACCGATAGCACGAAGCGTCCCAAAAGGGATCTTCCGTATTCCGGCTACTCGACCCTGAGAAGCCGGGATGGCACTTCAGCTCGGTTATCGCAGAGCTCATATTCATGGACTAGCAGAGTCACAGTATCGTCAACCAGCCCCCTCGCAAATCATCTTCTTGGAAACGTGGGATGACATCCTGGCGGGCCAGACCAGGCATCATCACTAATAACACCCAAGATGGACTTCGTCTTCTCCCTTGTTTGCTGTTCTATCTAGACCAGTCACCGTGGTAATCACAGTCTCTCAATCTCATCCAATCGAATGACCCCACCCCCGTCACAACCCGGCCGCTCCCGCGCATTTCATATCCTTAAGCCGAAAACCCTCGCTCATTCTCATCATCTCGGCTTGAGACTCTAGAGCCCGGCCGTGATCCAGGCTTTTGAGAGATGCGGGCTTTTCCAGACCCGGAATGGGCTCCTCCGGAAAGGAGAGTGGAGGGCCTCAAACATGAATAGACCATAGCCTAGCCCGAGCCTCATCATCCAGCGGTTCATGGCTCGGCTATGTTGTGATGCCATCGCTTCTTGCGGCTCGCTTCTTGGTAGGGAGGCAGCCCAGGATGGGTCATGCTGATGTTGAGGTATCCTCCCCCCCCCCCCCCCCCTTCTACGGTAACTTGGCTCGGTAAAGTGTCGATTAGACCTTACGACAACATTTGATGGCCAAGGTCGATTTTGCGCCTTCATTACATCATATCCTTGACTCTGCCTACTTGGTTGTACTGTTCTGCCGTGAGGAATTTCCGAATTGCTGCACATTAGTGATGTCCCGTATTTGATGAAGAGTTTGGAGTGCCAGGCATTGCATCATCACCCACATCATTCTGTCTCGATAACGGTACAACTGGGTGTCAGTAACGTACCTTCCCTATTGGAAGCTCCGGTCTCACAATGTTTGTTATACCAAGGACGGTGCAGAGCAGTTCTCAAGGACCCGCCGAGCTATCCCAAGCACTAGGTCAAACTATGTAGATCGGAGATCATAGAACATAGAACCCAATCGAGGAGGTAGAGCATGGCGCTGTCGTTCACGATGTCTGGGGGAGCACTCAGTCGCCTTGGACGCTCGCATGTTCTGTGTAGATACTGTCCTTGGTCTCCCATAGTGCCACATCGCTCTCTTGGAAACGCAAGCGAGGGCTATCTGGCGAGGTTCTACACAATGTAATGCAACAACACTAGCGAATTACATACACATCGGACGGGGGAACTCCATTGCAACCGCAGTACGCAGTCTTTGTCTTAGATCTTCACGGATCACCTCCAGGTGACCAAAACTTGGAGAGATGGCGCCTGGGATGTCATAGTGAACTTGCAGTGGACCCCCAGCATTGCAGCTGATGAGCACTTGTAACACCTCATCTCAACTCGAACTCGCTCGTTTCCCCGCCGTAATGGGAACCAGATCTCACCACGCTAGTATGCCTCCATGTGTCGGGGACCTCACTGTGACCTGCCTTCGGCTCTGATGGCGCGTATAGCGCTATTCACCCGTGATTCTGCGACAAGAACAAAGGTCTTGACAACGCCAATGATGTGATACGACAGAAGCAGCTCGCAGAGTGGAGGAGGAAAGACTTCCCTGGCTGATAAGAAGCTACTCAACATCTTCATTGCGTCCGAGAGTGGCCATACTACTTCAAAATCCCGACACAAGCTTGAGGCCCGCAGCCATACCTCAAAACGCAGCTAGAGCGGGAAGGTTCACTGTTGTTGTCAAAAGGCACAGTCACGAACTGTAGCAGACTGCAGCTTCAAGCATCAAGTTGGCACCTACACGTCTGAATGGACCACGTCACGATAGTGGCTTGGGTGGAACAGTGCAATAGGGGCAGGCAGAGGAGGAATAATAGCAGCCGGCAAAGTAGTCACGTCAGCACTGAGCAGAGTATCTGCCACGTAGCTTGGTTGGTACAGGTCCAGATACCAAATGAATGCCTTAGACCTATGGCGATGAAGTGAAATCGTTTCCTATGGACATGTCGATTACATTAGACAATGATATCAAGACAGGATGAAAGGGTGTGCTTACATTATGCGTTTGACTCCTACCGCAAAGTGTGTCGAGGTTGAATGGAAATTAGTTGAAATCACAGAAACAGAAAGGAATGAATGACTTGCCATGTTGTTCAACCTTGTTTTGACGATTACCATAGCACCTGTCGAAGATTGTTGAGAGTTAGTATAAGCTCATTGGGACAAAGAAGGACCAAAGGCTTACTTACCATGATGACCAAGACTACTCTCCCGAGTCCGGGAAATCGTGTCTAAATGAAGGGATATCAGTTCAAGAAAATTGGAGTAGAGAAGGGAGGGAAGCTTACCATGATGATGAGTTTGATGGTCGGATCTAAGTTTGCATACTCAAAGTTAGTGGACGGTGACAGTTTAGGGTTGGATGGGGAGACTTACAGATATTGCTGAGACATTCTATGTAGCAAGCATATTGAGATATATAGTAGATAGATAGATAGATGAGATGGAAGTTAGATCATAAGAGCGGGAGTACAATGACCCTCCCGAACGAGGGACCTATCGAAGTTAGCTGACCAAAAGGGGGGGCGAACGAGAGTGGGGGGTGAGAAAAAAGAAAACAAAAACAAGCACAAAACAAGATCAGTAACCAGGACCAGTAACCAAGACCAGTAACCAAGACCAGTAACCAAGACCAGTAACCAAGACCAGTAACCAAGACCAGTAACCAAGACCAGTAACCAAGACCAGTAACCAAGACCAGTAACCAAGACCAGTAACCAAGAAGAAGGAGCCAAAAAGGACCTAGGGCCTAAGACCTAACCCGAGGAACGCGGCGGGTGATCTTGAGGGTGACTGCCTTCATGCCCTTGGGCTGGGTCGTGATCGTGGACGTGACCAGGTCAAACTCAGGCTCAGGCGCAGGAACGGGCACGGGAACAGGCGCAGGCACGGGCGAACGAGGACCATAAAGCTCCAGCAAGGAAGAGATCGATCCAGATTCCTCGGCAGAACCAGAAGAACCAGGGGACCCAAAAAAGCTGGAAGTACCGAAAGATCCGGTAGATCCGGGGGACGCACAGTACCCAGAGGAGCCACCAGATCCAGAAGAGCCAGTGGAACCAGATGAACCATGAGAGCCGGAAGAACCAGATGATCCAGATGATCCAGCAGAACCAGATGAGCCAGCGGAACCAGACGAGCCAACGGAACCAGACGAGCCAACAGAACCAGAGGAAGAAGCGACAGGGGATCCAGAATACACAGGGGAGGCGGCCGGCGAATCCCACTCTGCGAGAGCTCCAGGGAGCTCAGGAGAGGCGACAGGGAAGGCGCCCTTGGTCCAGGAGTATTCCGAAACCCGATCCTCTTCCAAGGTCGAGTCCCAGTTGGAGATGGTGTGCGGCGTAGGCGAGTCCGTGCTGTAGTCGTGAGAGGGCGCGTACCGCCTCTGGGGAGCAGGCCAATCCGACAGGAGAGCCCGGATTTGCGCAAACTTCGCCTTGGCCTCTGCGCTGAGCTCGCGGGCCCGGAGCCGTTGCCGTTCAACGCTGCGGTCGAGGGTATCCATCTCACGAGGAGGAGGAGTACGAGGCGGAGGCGTACAAGGCGGATCAACCGGATCACGGAACAGCGAGCCAGACTCCTCAACGGGGGCATCCACCGAAGGCGAGGAAGTCATAGACGAAAGCGTCCAGGGCTCCGGAGTCCTTAGTATCCTTTGCTCCGGGGTCCTTGGCTCCGGGGTCCTGGGAGCAGGAACAGCGACGGGGGCAGGTCGACGCTTAGCGGTGTAAGCGCGGGCCAGGTTGATTTGCCGATCGGCAAAGGCCATCAACTGTTCAAAGTCAGGAGGAGGTCTGATGGGCGAAACCAAAGGACGGGTTGGCGAAGCCAGAGCAAGGTCAGCGGCGTCGTCCACAAACGGATCCTCCAGGTTGGAAACGGAAACCGAACCAGATCCTGGAGAACCAGATGAAGCAGAGCGAACCGAAGACGAAGGACTGGCCCGGGGAACCGACTCAAAGTAATGGGACATACTGAGAGTGAAGGCACGCGGAGACAAACGGGGAGGAGTGCAAACAGGACCAACAGGCTCCGTAACCACAGTTCCAACCGAAGGCGAGGAACCTTCCAAAGGCAGAGGACCAACCCGGGACTCAGGACCTAAGTAATGGGACATACTCAGGGTGAAGCCATGCGGGGACCGACCGGGAGGAGTGCAAACAGGTCCAACAGGAGCCGTAAACGCAGAACCAACCGATGGCGAAGGAGACCTGACCAAAGGAGAACCGACCGAAGAAGGACTGATCCGGGATTCCGGCCCTAAGTAATGGGACATACTCAGGGTCCATCCATGCGGAGGCCCACGGGGAGGAGGAGTGGTTACGTGCACAACAGGCTCCGTAAACAGAGAACAAAAGCCCCCAGAAGAGGACTTACCAAGAGAGGACGACACCGTGATCGAGGGCCGGGTAGCTCCAGTCTGGGGTTGACGAGAAGACGAGCTACGGGCAAGCATCGCGGGGGGTGTCGGGGTACCGATGTACCGGCTAGAGAAGACTGATTAGCTACCAAGAAGACAAAAGACCCAGAGAGGCTGAAGAAGTGAGTAGTTACAGGATCGGGCGGACAGCGCTTGTGACGGCGGCTGCGAGAAGGCGAGGGACGCGGCGGAGGAAGGAACCGAGCGAGGCCACGAGGGTGCTGGCGTTGACGGGGGCAGGGACTTGAACCCTGGACTGCGGACCGGTCTCAGACGGGCGGGCGGCAGCCGAAGCAGGCGAGAAGCAGAAAGAAGTCATCGTAGCAAAGCTAGAGCATCAAACGATCAAACCGTGAAGAGGAAAGGAAGAAGGAGGTTTGGGAGCGGTTCGAGGAGGAGTGGTAGAAGTAGACGGACAGTGCACCCAGATCAGTAACACCTGATTGGCCAGAATAGCTCACCCCCTGAGGGGGTGGTTGCAAGAACGACTGGTAGGGCTGAGAACCAGGCCTAATATGGTGTAGCGTCTGTACCCAGGTACCCGCTAGGCCCAATTGGGACAGCGCGTCTGGACTGTCAGATGGAAGAAAAATGGTATAATAGATGGGATGACGGAGGCGCAATCCAATATGAAGAAATTAAAACCGTACAATTGTCTTTATTATGTCTATTCAAACTTGTGTGCAAGTTCTACCGATGAAAACGGTCTGTTGTGGCGAGAGATACCGCGTCGGGGGTGGAATCGGCGGTTGTAGTCGAGAGGACATCGAGAGCTGGCTGAGAATCGTCGATTTCTGGCTCGTGGCATCGAATGGTCGCCGCGCAGATGAGATATTGTCGTTGAAATAGGTTTAAAAGATTGAGTAGATCGATGGGGATATTTTGATGGCTGATTATGCCCGCGCATTGCCGTGCGGTTGAGGTAGCCGAAGGAATAGGTCGGATTCGGCCACGGGATGCCATCCTTCGTCGGAAGAAACCATCGCGGAGTGTCGCAGCGTGCATCGAGGTGTATGCAAAATTGGTTACAAAGTACTCTCAAGGCTTCCAGCTTCCTTTTGGTGTAATTTGAGCTCATTCCCTTGCGCCGCGGCATCGTGGTTGCTCATCGTAGCGGCGACGCCTTCCACGGAATTAGGATTGAGCCTGCCGCCTACCTCGTCCAGGAACAGCGCGTAGCTCCTCTGGCTTCAAGCTCTGTAAATTTGGTCCTCAATTCTCTCTGTCAACAAAGATTCGTCACCTAGAATCAGCGAACCATAGTTTGCGGCACAAGATTGATGAGCATCGGCAGAACCACCGCTAGACAGTAACAAGGACCACAATCAAAGGGACGATCACCAGTAAGAAGATTTGCTGTTCTATTGATACTGCTGTCTAACAAAGTTGAAAGAAGCGTCTTCCAAATCAGCTCTGCTACCGATGAGCCCTCAGCGTTGTTTCGACCCCCTCACCGAAGAGGCGAACCCTTCCCTGGTGTCCAAGTTGAGCCCGCCCCGAAGCCGCCACTTGACGTTCCACCTCCCGGAGCCCCCGGCGTAGAGGGTGCCTCGTTGGGTAAGGGGGGAGGCGTGTCTGTTCTCTGGACATCAGCGGCCTGTCCGCTCCTAGCAGGCGGCCGGAAGTTGACGTCTCGCCCGCCTCGATAGATATCTTGAAGCATCGGTTCCAGGATACCTGCATCTTCGAACTCCAAATACTTTCGGTATAGCTTCAAAGCTGTCCGAGCATCCTCGATCGAGTCGTGAGTCTCCAGCTGGATATCTTCCTTCAGCAAGTACCAAGCCAAGAAAGCCAGCGAGAGCTTCCGAAGACGAGACTTCAAGAAGAACAGATCGATCGTGTCGATGACCTGGGACTTCGGTATGTGTATGTTGATTACTCTGAAATCCTGTTTGAGGCCATGACCGAGGAACTTGCAGCCTAGGTTCAGCAGGATCCAAAGCTTTTTGTAGGCAACCTTCAGCGGCACAAGATTGTGCTTGGATATGCGGGGATCCAGATCATCGTGAGTAATACCCGAGTACGATGTCAGGTAATCAACAATGGGTTCTCTAATCGAGATGTAGTCGTCGATGAACGGCAGACCTTCGTCCTCTCCTTGCCCCCGGACGACGGAAGCTCTGGCTAGGGCGTACACGATCGGCCGAATTGTCTCTCTTTCGCCGTCGGAGTTCATCTCGATTTCGGGCTGACGGACGGCGACGAACTCCGTGTCTAAAGCGACGATGCTCTCTGGCCCGGGTCTTTCACTCGCCGAATCGAGCGCTCGGTACGTCTTTCCGTCGTTATGAGGGCTTGATAGGTCAGCAGGCTACCTATGACGGCACATTCAGGGAGGGAACCAACTTGTTATCTTCGTAAAGGAGGGAAGTATCAATATTCTTCTTCCAGTCCATATCGATCTTGTTATTTGCCTCCTTGATCTGGAAAGCAATTACCGAGGGTGTCTTCCACGGCGGATGGAACGAAAGGGCTTCCTCGGTGCTCACAGACCGAACTAGGAAGTCATTGAACAAATGCCATTGACTTGTAGCCGGGGCGGTTGGCTGAGAATGGGCAACTTGGACTTGTCAGCATCGCCACTTCACAAGCAACGAGGATAACGTACCGTTGGCCATTGCGACCAGATGAGGCTTTTGACCCGGACCTGGGTCAATATTCATAGCCATGCCCACTAGCGAATACACCGTTATGTTGTGAATACCGCGCTGTAGGTGGAGCTTTAGATCCTCTCCCTCATAACAGAAGAACTGGCCGTGATCTACTATGACGCCAATTTCTTCCGGAAGGAATCCGGGTGTCGACCAATAACGCCTTTGCTCCGAGTTCCCGATTGCTGTGTTCAGCATGAAGACGGCGGGGATATTGTGGATGGTCTTGCGAGTTGCGATAGTCTGGTATCGCTGGCACCGACCACACCAACCCTTCGACGTTGTTTCTCTCTCGACACTTGACTTCAGAATTTGTGAAAACGTCACTTTCGGCGCTTTCTGACCCCGGCTAACGTTCTTCTGCGAGCAATTAGCGCTTGAACAGGAAGGGAGACCCTCGGCCGCAAATCATGAAGCGAAGCAGTCGGCGAAGCTGGCCATATGCGAGTTGCGGCATCCGAAGACGACAGACAACACATTTGAGAACACGGACGAAGATTACAGTGGTTTGTACTTACCCCTGCCCCAGTTGTTTGCGGATACATCAGATCGTTGACAAAATTTGATCCAGGACGAGTGTATTCGAACCTGCAGTTGATACACCGAATCGAACTCGTTGCAGAAGTTGTGAGCATCTAGAGACGGTCAGCCACTGCAACATTTTCCAACTTGCATTTGACGAACCTGCTCCATCATGTTCGAGCCAGGCGGCATGGAACGATAATCCAGGACAATCTTCTCCAAAAGGAACCTCGTCAGTCCCTGCAGCATCACCGTTAAGGTAGAGCCATTCGATTCTTCTTCAAGGAGGCCAAGATTGGCGGCTACAATACAGTCAATATTCGCCGCAGACACAGAGAATTAAGTCACAGACATTGAGGGTGGTGGCTAAGTGTCTTCAGCATATTGGTTGCTTGACAGATTGAACCTTCGGCCTTTTGGAGCATGTCGAACAAGAAACCCAGTTCGCATAACAGACAAGTATCGGTAACACACGCAGTGGCCGCGTGTTGTAGAGCCATGTTTCGGATTAGAGGCGTAAAGTTCATGACTTGCAGCAAAGAGTTGGCGTATGAGTTTGCGATATGGATCTCGAGTCCAGAGTACTGCGTTCTGTTGTAGAATCTAGACAAGGTTAGCAAGCCAAACCATTTCAGTGCGATAAGCTGACATACCCAAAGTCAAAGTCGTCAACACCAAACTTGCTGTACTTGATCTCAACATTACGGTACATCGGATGACACTCTTGTTTGGTAGGGTCGATTTCCATTTGCATCAGAGAATGGGCAACGTCGTCAACCTTTTCGTCGCCGCTGGCATTGCCGACTGTAGCCATAGCAAACTCTCTAGCTTTCTCGCTGAGGAACTTTGGCGCAAGGATTCCCGAAGCGTTTCCTCTGTCCAAGTTCCGAGTATCTTCAACTTGGTTCCTTCGAAGGCCCCGTGTATTCCGTCCATAGTGGCCAAATTCGGACTGTTTGAGGCCCGCAACAAACTGTGGCTCAAGTTTGGTCGGAGGAGCCCCAACATCAGAAAGAAGATCTGGCCAGGCGGACAGCAGCGCCTCCCGGTAATGCGGCATGCCAATAGAGTTGAGAGGTCTGGTGCTAGGTCAGTGATCGTGACACATGTCACAGAATCAGCAAAGAGAGGCGTTACTAACGTATCGGCAGTCCACTCTATGGTAGGTAGAGGCTCTTCCGGAGTTGCGAACTCAGTTTGAGAGGCAAAATCGACGAAGCGGAGTTTCGAAGGGGAGCCCCAGATGTGAATGTTATGATCCGCATCTACCAGAGCCACGGCTTCGCCAGATGGGGCGATTTCGAACATGGTCAGGTAGTTCATCGTATTGGTTTGCCGCACATTGCTAGTGTTTGGGTTCATCAGGTCAACAACGTGCATCTGGCCACTTGTGGACATGACAATGCTGGTCGTCGACATTCTTGGGTGCATTCTGACAAAGGCGGCCCCAGCAGGAAACGGAATCGGCGACATGGACGACATTTTCTTGATATCAAACACATTCAAGAACGGGTCGAGCATGTAGTCTCGTCCCTGCCGCAGTGAATAGCCGCAAGTGACGATGAAGTCATGCTGAGCATCCATATCGCTGATCAAGGCGGAGTGGGCGTTCCAGCTCTTAACGACGGAGAAGTTGACCGCGTCGATCAGGTTGACTGTGCCGGTCTCTGTGGCGGCGCATATGTATCTGCTTTTCTTCATAACCTTATATGAATACGCGGTTGGAACCTGGGTTCATCAGCAAGGCGTCCTCATTATCATACCGCCATCGAACGGACCTGCTTGACCACCTCTCCCTTAGCGAGGTCGATCACAAACATGGTGTCCTGGAATCCAGCAACCAGGATTTCGGACGTCCCTTTGGACGTAAAGCTCATGCATCGTAAGTCTTTCATATCATCATGTCTGCGTTTGTACTGTTAGGCAGAATTCTAATGGGTCAGGTTCATGCTCCCGCACCTTATATGCCATATCGGAGGGCCTTTCCGCGAAGCCATGTGGATGTCTCGAGATCCAAGTACCACAACGCCCTTGTCATTGACGAGTATTTGTCTAACCGGGCCGTCGGATGAGGTATGGGCCTTGAAGGACGTATAGCGCTGAAGCTCGCTGCGGTAGAACGACGTGACGCGGCCCTAGAACA